ACACACAATATTACATTAGTTTTAGGTGTACAACATAGTGATTCAACTTCTCTATCCATTATGCTATGTTCACCGCAAGTGTAGCTACCGTCTGTTACCATGCAACATAACATCACTGACTATATTCCATATGCTGTACCTTATATTCCCATGACTTACTCATTTCCTAACTGGAGGCCTAAATCTCCCACTCCCCTTTCCCCATTTTGCCCATTCCCCCACTCCCCTCCCCTCTGGCAACTATCAGTGTGTTCTCTGTGTTTATAGGTTGGCCAAATGGTTTCATTTTTATCACAACAAATAACAGTCCTATTAAATATGGTCTGCATAAGTATTTTTCTGTACTTCAGATTATTTTCTCAAGAAACAGTATGTACCTTGGAAACAAAATTACTAAGTTATGAGGCATGACTATTTTAAAGGCTTTTAAAATAAAATTAGTCAACTTTTCAAAAAGTGTTATCAATTTTTACTTCCACCATTAGTGGATAAGGGCATTCATCCTGGTGCACTATGACAGTTTTCAGTTTTAATATAATTTAAGATTGTTGATTTGATGAATGAAAATCAGCATTTCATTGTTAAGCATATGCACCACTACTCAGAACTACTGGCAATCTCCAACCTTATCCGTACAAATTCAAAATAGGAAACAAGTATTTGAGCAGAGAGAAAAAGGACAAGGAGAGTGGAGAGTTATATGAAGTGAGATGAACAGATGGAATTAGTAATTTTTACTCAGCATCATTTTTCCTCAATGCTCAGGACAGTCCCAAGTAGTTCACACTTTACATTCCAATGGACATTCCATTGCACACACACCCTTTCTACTACCCTTGCCTTTTCCCCAGCAAAGGTGCAGAAAGCGCAGCTCTCACTCCCATTCTCCCAGGCTTCCTCCTAAGCACTGGGACAGGGAAGAAAAGAAAAAAAGCAGGAAAAAAAAAGCAGCTGTATAACATGTGATAAGAAGATCTACCTTCAACATTTCAGTGGTATTTTATTGGTACTTTATAATAAAAGTTCATGAAAACGAATCCTCCTTTTTGTCCTAAATTGTAATTGCCTGTGTATATATCAGCTTCTCCAAATAAGTTACATCAACATTACTGCAAGGACTTAATCACATCTTATTTATTGCTCTCTATCCCTAGCATATCAGAGAATGAAGAACATGTATATTCTTTTAAATATTGCAAGTATAAAGTTTTAAAGTGTCAAGTAAATATAAGTTAAAGTTTTAGTTTTGTGTATCTCATATTAGTTGGTCTAACAACTTACTTATTTAAATAGATGTCACTCTCAATCTTTTCATTTGCAACAACATGCATGAAGTACAATGATCAGCAAAATAAGTCAGTCAGAGAAAGACGAGTACCATAGGATTTCACTTCTGTGGGGAATTTAAGAAATTAAACAAATGAACAAAGGGGAAAAAAGAAAGAGAGAGAGAGAAATCAAGAAACAGACTCTTAACTATAAAGAACTGACGGTTTTTAGAGGGAAGGTGTGGGGGATGGGGGATGGATGAAACAAGTGACAGGGATTAAGGAGTGCGCTTGTGATGAGCACTGGGTGATGTATATAAGTATTGAATCCCTCCCTATATTGTACACCTGAAACTAATATAACAGTGTATGTTAACTAAATGGAATTAAAATAAAATAATAAAAAATAATAAGTAGATGTCACTCTCCTATATTAGATATCATTAAGTTGGGTTAAATGATTGAAAAAAAAATTATCTTAAAAGGAAATGTGCAACTAAGATGAAATAAATAGTACAAGGAGTATCTGGTAATATTTAAGTAATATGTTTGAGATGCACAAATTTGCTAACAAAATAGTATGAGGGGAAATACTAAACATTTCTATTAATTACTACCACCCTGGTACCCAAAATGAGCTAAGGTTTTTTGTTTTTTGTTTTTTAAGATCTTTGTTATTTACTTGACACAGAGAGAGAGACAGCAAGAGACGGAACACAAGCAGGAGGAGTGGGAGAGGGAGAAATGGACTTCCGGATGAGCAGGGAGCCCGACACGGGGCTCAGTCCCAGGACCCTGGTATCATGAGCCAAAAGCAGATGCCCTGAGCCAAAAGCAGATGCCTAACGACTGAGCCACCCAGGAACCCCTAGACTAAGATTCTTAAAAATCAGCATATGAGGGGCGCCTGGGTAGCTCAGTGGGTTAAAGCCTCTGCCTTCAGCTCAGGTCATGATCTCAGGATCCTGGGATCAAGCCCCACATTGGGCTCTCTGCTCCGCAGGGAGCCTGCTTCCCCTCTCTCTCTGCCTGCCTCTCTGCCTACTTGTGATCTCTCTCTCTCTGTTCAAATAAATCAGTAAAATCTTTTTTTAAAAAATCAACATATGAATTACTAAAATCACAACAAAATAAAAACTGTCTTTTATAAATCTCTGTAACACCATGATATCTATCTCATACCTATATTGCTAAGTGGCCTTTAAAATAAGAATTGGAAGCTGGCAATATTAAATAATCTAAAAGCACCCTCTAGTGGCAAAAAGCAGTTCACATATAAACCAGGCAATATTATCTATGAGTATTCTGACAGTAGTAATCTCAAAAATTTCTAAATGAAAGTGTGGCTATCATTAAATCAGTTTTAATGATATTTCCACTGCTCTATTCAATAATATAGTCAGTTGGAAAAGTTAACCTATCTTAGTACTAAAAATACATCCAGTATATAAAATACATATATACCTGCAATGCAAATAAAGACACAAGATTTCTTTGTAATTATGTACCTCTTCTATTATTTTTCATTCCCTGAGCTTCTATTCATGGTAAAAGTATTCGCCTCTAGCCCAGGGAAGATTGAATACAAACCAAACGTGTCTAATTTGATTGTATTTTTACTAGAGACAACTACTGTTTAAAATTTTAAATATGATCATCTAAATCACTAAGTATTGATCACAAACCAGTACTGTTTGCCATTAAACTGTACATTACCTAACTAGAAATATCCACAATGTTTCCTATCAACCTTGACTTCACTAATGTTTTTAACTGCTATATTTTACTAGAATAAAGAAAATTTTTCTGTCTTAGAAATCTTGTAATGAAACGTTATTTGTAATACTTAGATGCCATAAAACACTTCAATTCTACAAAATAATAGCAATTTCTTCAAAAGCTGATGGCACAAAAAAACCTGCCAATGAAAAGCTACTATCTCATTAAAAAAATCTGTATTTTGACTTGGAATATTTTCTTCATATTTCAGTGTACTCTACCTATGTCTGGCTAAAAGCTATGATGTCAATAAAGACCAATTGAAAATTTTTTTTTTTGCTTTCTGTCTTTATTGAATTGGTTCAAAAATGAAGACAGTATTTGTAATAAAAAACAGAGTGGACAAGAGACAACAGCAACCATAATAATCTTATTTTTCAAGCTAATGACTTTCAGAATAATATATAAGCAATTTTTACATTTTTAATTTAAGCTTACAATCATTTTTTTAATTCTACCACACTGCAAATACTTGTGAAAATAAATAAAGTAAATGATGCATAGATCTAGGAAAATTTCTTATAAACTGAACTACTGCACAACAAATCAATGTGAGAATAATATATGTAAGTAATTCAAAAATGCATTTAAATACACTGTCACAACATGTTTCATAATTCATAAGTGTACTTCACCTACTTACTGTTTATAATAATCTCTGGGTTCTAGAATTGGATGATTTTTTACCAACTCATTTTCCATATAGTACATTATAACATTTACTGGCTACTGCGAAATTCTGTGAGAAACAAACATGTGCCACTTTGAGCTCATTTACCTACTCCTTCCTAGGGTAAAAATTATATGGTCTTAAAAAAAAAAAAAAAAAAAAAAAAACTTGGAAAATGAAAAATAGTGCTTAGTTCCAGGGAAAACAAAGTTGAAAGTTCTTTGTATGATTTATAACAGGACAGAATAACATATATCATTGAAATGAAAATCTAATTTATGTACATTATTCTCCTAAATTAATTAAAGTTTAATCTAGCTAATGGACTCTTTTTTTTAGACCAATGACTGAATAAAGACAATCAGGTTAAAAAAGTTAATGAAAAGTCAGGAAAGAAACTATAAGGTAAATAAAATGACAATTCTTATTACCTCAAAGTTTACATCTCTTGCCTGAACGGAAAACAACAACAACAACAACCAACACCAAAAACACTAATGAATACAATTATAAAGTATAAGCATAAATAAATTTCAAAGAAAATTAAAAGCCACAAATTTCTACATTAACCCTTACACAGTTGATCATAATCATAAACGAGAAATTAGAAATGGCCTATAGAAGATTTGCTTACACAAAGCTGTTTTCTTTCCATTCAACAGAAATTACTAAGGAATTATTGAACCTGGGCTGCACAGGCAATCAAAGAATCTACTACTAAATACTGTCACACTGAAAGTGTGACAATTAAAAGCTGTATTTTAGCCAAAGTTAAAGTATAATTAAGTTTTTGTGAATGTTTAATTACATAAGTCAGCTGTGCATTAAAGCAGTGCATTTTCAGTGTTTGTTTTTTTTTTTTACTGTGATGTGAATGGTATTTCAATATTAAACACTAAACAGAAAATATAAGTAGGAAAAATTAGACCCTAACCAACTCATCACTATATCTATACTTCAAGGGAAATTAAAAAATAAGACTTTTTACCTGCATGCCCTGCAGTAATGATTAATTATCCAAATTATTTATTAGGGTCAGGTGGTTTGCTTTGAAATCCATTAAAATAATTTATTCTAAATTCAGACACAGAAATGAACATGTAGAATTTTGCAAGGAATCTTGTGCCTCTTACATTAAATAATTATTTTCAAACTTTGCAAAAATAAGGAAGTAGTAAACTAAAACTCCTCAGACATGAGGTAATGAAAAAGAAAAAAGTGAAACATGGAGACACAATTAGAAATAGAAAGAATATACATTCAACTAACACACAGAGGTAAAAAAAAAAAGTCATTAAGTTATAACTAGAATAAAATACATTTATATTTTTTAGTCTTGTGTCTCTGAAAAGGAAACTGCATAATTACATTTTAAAGAATAAATAAAGATCTCTAAATTATATAATTAATGATATACTGAGTAAAGGACAACATAGACCTGTAGAGGTTGAATTCCTCTCTATTTTAAATATTTATAAAATTAACCGTACAACAGCTCTACAGGAAAATGACCTGACATAACTAACTGCAACTGAAAATACTCTCTTGCAAAACTCCAAGCATCTAATCTTATACTACGTGAAAATAGGCACCCATAATAAAAATGTTTGTTCTGACTTTTCCTCAAAGTAATGATCATCCTAAAGCTTGAAGGGCTGAGCACTAGCATTTGATTTTGTGAAGGTATGCTTAATGTGCTTCAACAACTGTAACAGAAAAGTAATACCTAAGTTAATGATTCCACTTGAAATTATTCTCTGACAGATGAGTGACTATTTTCTTGAATGGCACAGTTTGGGGTATCAGGTATTTATTATATACAGTATAGGTACACATTCATATATATACACACACATTTCACAGCCAAAGAATTATGCTCCAAAAATTGCTGAAAAAAGTATTTTGAATAATTTTAGCATAAAATCACTAAAGGAAGTGCTCTAGCTGTCCAAGCAGCAACAGTCATAAAATTCTGGACTTAGCTTTTTTTGGGCTCTATTCACAGAACCATTCTTCGAATGCCACATTCACAGCAAAACTTTGCCCATTCTACAGGGTATTTAGTTCCACACTCATGGCAGAATTTTGGTAAGTGTCCTGTTGAATTTCCTTCCATGACTTTAATGTTTCCGCCATTAAGTGAAGATACATAGTCTCCATCTGGCCTGAAAGAGTACAGGAAGAAAAGTGGAAACACAAGTTCCTGTCAGTAGTTTTCATAACCCTTAGAAAACAGTAATTAACACTAAGTATAAGTAAAAGCTTGCTTAGTTTTAATATTTTTCTAGTTCAAATTTTAAACCCCCTTTTAGTTAATAATGAAATACTAAATATTTTCTTTGGCATTATATTTGTCCCTGTTTATGAGAATTTTTCATGAGCAAATACCACCACACTTTCCATCTGTTCAATGTATTAGGCATATACTACAATGGGAATAGAATGGAATTTATACTGTCCCTTCTGTAAAACTATCGCTAAAAAGAAAACTGGAACCTTGCCCTGAGGAAAGACGGACATCTTTCCTCCAAATACATACTTTAATAAATATGTATATATTATTGCATCTATTATAAAACTATATATATATATATAAAACTTCTCCCAATGTGTCATGTTATTTTCACTGTATCCATGGAGTCTTTTCACTTGAATTCTCATCATTATTTTCACTGTATCCATGGAGTCTTTTCACTTGAATTCTCATCATTACTCAGGTTGAATCTTGTTAGTTCCTTTGGTCTAATTTAGTTATACACACTCAAATTCTTCATCCTTCATCCCCTGTACTGCAATCCTTATGGCTCTGGACACTCACTGCCACTCTAAACTGTGTCCCCTTTTGCTTTATTGTTTTCCACCTGACATGCAATATATGTCATTTTTGTTACATCTTGTCTTCTCCATAAGACTGTGAGTTCCCCAAGTGCAGGGAACTTTATTTGTTTTGTTACTGCTCTAAGTCTAGGATCAAGAGAAGTACCTGACATAAACTCATCTCTCAGTAAATACTTTTATTGAATAAATGAATGAATGAGTAATATATGAAGAAGATAAATAAAGTAAAATATTTGGTCCTTTTAAAATGATAAAGTAAACTTTTAAGATTGATCAACAAAAAAGGAATAAACAATACTCAGAATGAAAGAAGGATAGAACTACAGATATAGATAGCAGAGATATAAAATTATAAGAACAATTCTATGCTAGTAATTTGAAACTTAGATGAAGTGAAAAATTTCGTAGAAAAATATCTTATGAAAACTGATTTCAAACCAACTATAATACTAAATAGAATCATTAAATTGACTGAATCAGTAATTAACATACTACTCATCAGTTAATCAGTAATTAACATACCTCCTCATCAGTGAGCATGTGCAGGCGTGTGTGCACGCACGCATGCTCGCGCACACACACACACACACACACACACAGTGGACTCATAATAATTTTACATGGTAAGTTCTAGGGGCACCTGAGTGGTTCAGTCTGTTAAATGTCTGCCTTCAGCTCAGGTCATGATCCCAGGACCCTGGAATAGAGCCCTGATCAGCAGGGAGTCTGCTTCTCCCTCACCTTCTGCCCCTCTCTCCCACTCATGCCTTCTCTCTCTCTCACACTTTATTAAATAAATAAATAAAATATTAAGAAAAAATCATGGTAAGTTTTCTACTAAGCTTTTCCAGCAGAGGGGGGTTGAAAAACAACATTCCGCAATTTCTTTTCGAAGATCGTAAAACCTTTATATTCTGACTAAGAGAATATAAAATTATAACCAACAACTATTAACTTGTAAATACATGTAAATCTCCAAGAATTTTAGCAAGCACAATCTACAAACATGCAATTCAAGACACTTCAGATTTATTCCAGAAAATAATACTGATTTAACATTAGGAAGTCTATTAATATAATTTATCACATAAACAGATTCAGGGATTTAAAAATACTGATTTTACATATATATATACATATATATATATATGATATTCAATAACATTCACCACCTATTTTTTATTTTAAAAAAACACTTAGAAAATCAGGAATAGAAAGGAATGTCACTGATAAAATGTAGATTATAGAATCCTATATCTGTCTTCATGTTCAATGGTGACATTTAAGAAGCATTTTCTTTAAAAAGCAGAAATGTCACAAGAATATCAGTTATAATCATTTCTATTTTAATATATAGTACAACATAAAGAGAACTCTTTTTCTGTTTCTTTGGACATATCTAACATGGGGATAACTTCCTAGCTTTCTTTAATGAAAACCTTTCAAAAGGTGGAATGCCAGCTGTGTTTCTAGGCAATAGTATTTACACGCAATCCACAGAAATTAGACATCCCTCAAGACAACCTGAAAGCTAAGTCTACAGGGCTGTTACAAGAGAAACTGGTTCCCTTTGGGGACACAGAATTTCCAATTAAACTGATCCTACACACATCTGTTAAGATCTTGTTCTCTCATACCTAAGCTGTCACTGGACGGCCAAAGAAAACCAGATCCAGGACTGGGGCAAGGGCTCCCAGGAAAGAGTAACACCAGACACTGCCTACTGTCATTTCCTATTTCCTATAAATAATCCTAATGTCATATATTACCATGTGATTACCTCAAGCCGAGCCTAAGACAACCTCTTAATGGACATTTCAAGAGCCCTGCTTAGAGGAAGGGGCATGAGGAGATGGGAAGGGAAAGCTGAGTTTCTAAATCTCCACTTTGTGCAAGTCTAAGAAATCACCGTCCTCTCTCCCAAAATGACACTAAACAAGAATTTAAGTAGGGAAGATCAGTCAAAATCTCAAATGTAAGTGCAATGTCAGAGTTAATTTACCAAGCTGACCTCTGGTTTCCTTTATTTACTTATCTGCGGAAGTTACCCTTACTTTTCTGAGAGCTAAGCTACACATTTAGAAGGATATTTGCCCCATTTTGTGTAGCATTTCTAGGTGTTTTCGGTGGAAGGACCATCCAGAAAATGTAGCCTAACACACTTCCAGAAAAAGAAATCTGTGAAATTTCTTCATCTGTTGTGGTTATAATTATTCTATCTGGGTGGTGTAGTAAGTCAAGTGAACAAGGTTCAGGGCTTACTATCACATATTAACCATTTAAAAAGAAAGAAATAAAAGAAAACAAAAAAGAATTCAAACTCATTTTTAATGGGATTTTTGCCCCTGCCTGTTGTCACTTCATTTGTCTACCTCTTTAGAAAGATAAGATGAATTTTTTATTTAAGCACATGTATTTATTAAGTTTCCCATTTAATGAGAGAATGTTAATCCTACATTCAGCATGGATTCAAAACATAAGGCTCCAGATATACAACAACATAGCAAGCCAGCTTCAGGACCCCAAGAAACATTAAGTTCACTTCTTTAATATTTAAAATGTATCAAAACCTTAGGTGAAACAAACAGTATTTATGAAAGAATCTATCTGCAAAGGTAGCATTTCACCTATTCCTTTATGGTTCTCATCCCTTGTTATGCATAATCATCACTCTTAAAATTTTAAAAATCCAAACCAAAGAAATCAAAACCTCTCTGGGAAGGACGTGAACATGTTCATTTTTAGAAAGTTCCACAGGTGCTTCTTTCTGAAGGGCAACAACCAAGACTGACAGCTAACTCAGGTTGAATCTTGTTAGTTCCTTTGGTCTAATTTAGTTATACACACTCAAATTCTTCATCCTTCATCCCCTGTACTGCAATCCTTATGGCTCTGGACACTCACTGCCACTCTAAACTGTGTCCCCTTTTGCTTTATTGTTTTCCACCTGACATGCAATATATGTCATTTTTGTTACATCTTGTCTTCTCCATAAGACTGTGAGTTCCCCAAGTGCAGGGAACTTTATTTGTTTTGTTACTGCTCTAAGTCTAGGATCAAGAGAAGTACCTGACATAAACTCATCTCTCAGTAAATACTTTTATTGAATAAATGAATGAATGAGTAATATATGAAGAAGATAAATAAAGTAAAATATTTGGTCCTTTTAAAATGATAAAGTAAACTTTTAAGATTGATCAACAAAAAAGGAATAAACAATACTCAGAATGAAAGAAGGATAGAACTACAGATATAGATAGCAGAGATATAAAATTATAAGAACAATTCTATGCTAGTGATTTGAAACTTAGATGAAGTGAAAAATTTCGTAGAAAAATATCTTATGAAAACTGATTTCAAACCAACTATAATACTAAATAGAATCATTAAATTGACTGAATCAGTAATTAACATACTACTCATCAGTTAATCAGTAATTAACATACCTCCTCATCAGTGAGCATGTGCAGGCGTGTGTGCACGCACGCATGCTCGCGCACACACACACACACACACACACACAGTGGACTCATAATAATTTTACATGGTAAGTTCTAGGGGCACCTGAGTGGTTCAGTCTGTTAAATGTCTGCCTTCAGCTCAGGTCATGATCCCAGGACCCTGGAATAGAGCCCTGATCAGCAGGGAGTCTGCTTCTCCCTCACCTTCTGCCCCTCTCTCCCACTCATGCCTTCTCTCTCTCTCACACTTTATTAAATAAATAAATAAAATATTAAGAAAAAATCATGGTAAGTTTTCTACTAAGCTTTTCCAGCAGAGGGGGGTTGAAAAACAACATTCCGCAATTTCTTTTCGAAGATCGTAAAACCTTTATATTCTGACTAAGAGAATATAAAATTATAACCAACAACTATTAACTTGTAAATACATGTAAATCTCCAAGAATTTTAGCAAGCACAATCTACAAACATGCAATTCAAGACACTTCAGATTTATTCCAGAAAATAATACTGATTTAACATTAGGAAGTCTATTAATATAATTTATCACATAAACAGATTCAGGGATTTAAAAATACTGATTTTACATATATATATACATATATATATATATGATATTCAATAACATTCACCACCTATTTTTTATTTTAAAAAAACACTTAGAAAATCAGGAATAGAAAGGAATGTCACTGATAAAATGTAGATTATAGAATCCTATATCTGTCTTCATGTTCAATGGTGACATTTAAGAAGCATTTTCTTTAAAAAGCAGAAATGTCACAAGAATATCAGTTATAATCATTTCTATTTTAATATATAGTACAACATAAAGAGAACTCTTTTTCTGTTTCTTTGGACATATCTAA